TGAAAGCATTTCCCCTGAAATCAGGAACAAGACAAGGGTGCCCACTCTCACCACTCCTATTCAACATAGTTTTGGAAGTTTTGGCCACAGCAATCAGGGCAGAAAAAGAAGTAAAAGGAATCCAGATAGGAAAAGAAGAAGTGAAACTCTCTCTGTTTGCAGATGACATGATCCTACATGATCCTCTACATAGAAAACCCTAAAGACTCTACCAGAAAATTACTAGAGCTAATCAACGAATACAGTAAAGTTGCAGGATATAAAATTAACACACAGAAATCTCTTGCATTCCTATACACTAACAATGAGAAAACAGAAAGAGAAATTAAGGAAACAATACCATTCACCATTGCAACAAAAAGAATAAAATACTTAGGAGTATATCTACCTAAAGAAACAAAAGACCTATACATAGAAAACTATAAAACACTGATGAAAGAAACCAAAGAGGACACAAACAGATGGAGAAATATACCATGTTCATGGATTGGAAGAATCAATATTGTCAAAATGGCTATACTACCCAAAGCAATCTATAGATTCAATGCAATCCTTATCAAACTACCAACGGTATTTTTCACAGAACTAGAACAAATAATTTCACAATTTGTATGGAAATACAAAAAACCTCGAATAGCCAAAGTAATCCTGAGAAAGAAGAATGGAACTGGAGGAATCAATCTGCCTGACTTCAGACTATACTACAAAGCCACAGTCATCAAGACAGTATGGTACTGGCACAAAGACAGAAATATAGATCAATGGAACAGAATAGAAAGCCCAGAGATAAATCCACGAACCTATGGTCACCTTATCTTTGACAAAGGAGGCAAGGATATACAATGGAAAAAAGACAACCTCTTTAACAAGTGGTGCTGGGAAAACTGGTCAACCACCTGTAAAAGAATGAAACTAGAACACTTTCTAACACCATACACAAAAATAAACTCAAGATGGATTAAAGATCTAAATGTAAGACCAGAAAGTATAAAACTCCTAGAGGAGAACATAGGCAAAACACTCTCCGACATAAATCACAGCAGGATCCTCTATGACCCACATCCCAGAATTTTAGAAACAAAAGCAAAAATAAACAAATGGGACCTAATGAAACTTAAAAGCTTTTGCACAACAAAGGAAACTATAAGCAAGGTGAAAAGACAGCTCTCAGATTGGGAGAAAATAATAGCAAACGAAGCAACAGACAAAGGATTAATCTCAAAAATATACAAGCAACTCCTCCAGCTCAACTCCAGAAAAATAAATGACCCAATCAAAAAATGGGCCAAAGAACCAAACAGACATTTCTCCAAGGAAGACATACAGATGGCTAACAAACACATGAAAAGATGCTCAACATCACTCATTATCAGAGAAATGCAAATCAAAACCACAATGAGGTACCATTACACGCCAGTCAGGATGGCTGCTATCCAAAAGTCTACAAGCAATAAGTGCTGGAGAGGGTGTGGAGAAAAGGGAACCCTCTCACACTGTTGGTGGGAATGCAAATTAGTACAGCCACTATGGAAAACAGTGTGGAGATTTCTTAAAAAGCTGGAAATAGAACTGCCATATGACCCAGCAATCCCACTCCTGGGCATACACACTGAAGAAACCAGATCTGAAAGAGACACGTGCACCCCAATGTTCATCGCAGCACTGTTTATAATAGCCAGGACATGGAAGCAACCAAGATGCTCATCAGCAGACGAATGGATGAGGAAGCTGTGGTACATATACACCATGGAATATTACTCAGCCATTAAAAAGAATTCATTTGAATCAGTTCTAATGAGATGGATGAAACTGGAGCCCATTATACAGAGCAAAGTAAGCCAGAAAGATAAAGACCATTACAGTATACTAACACATGTATATGGAATTTAGAAAGATGGTAACGATAACCCTATATGCAAAACAGAAAAAGAGACTCAGATGTATAGAACAGACTTGTGGACTCCGGGAGAAGGCGAGGGTGGGATGTTTCAAGAGAACAGCATCGAAACACGTATATTATCTAGGGTGAAACAGATCACGAGCCCAGGTTGGGTGCATGAGACAAGTGCTCGGGCCTGGTGCACTGGGAAGACCCAGAGGGATCGGGTGGAGAGGGAGGTGGGAGGGGGTACTGGGAAAAATAAAAAAATAAAAAAATAAAGGTAATGTGAAAACTTGGGATTTTTATAATTAGTGGAAAAAAGAATGGTAAAATAAATTTGCTAAGTTAGTTTCAAAAAATAAAATAAATAAATAAAATCTTATACTGTTTTTTTTCTCTTATGTTTATTTTTCTTTTAATTCAATTATACCATCAATTACAATTGAATCTTAGTGCCAGGTCTTTTCCTGAATTCAGGGATCAAGCATAATATTTCATCAAAAATTATACTATGAACTGTTTTTTAGGTAATGGTTCTTAGGTTAAGGAAATTCTGTCTGTAAATGCATATTTTTTTACATTTTTATTTTTATGCAATTTTATAGATTACTTTCCACTTACTGTTATTACAAAATATTGGCTATATTCACTGTGTTGTGCAGTATATCCTTGAGCCTATCTTATAAGATTGTGTGTTACTTTTTGATCCTGTATGGGTATTGAATCTTATTAAATATTTTTATGCATCAATTATGATTATCATATTAGTTCTTTCTTTAGTCTATAAATGTAGTGAATCACATTGAATTATTTTTGATGTTGAAACAACCTATCTTTGCATTCTAGATTTTAACTAAATATTATACTGTATTATTTTTTCATTTTGGTTTTGAAATAATTTTAGAAAAGTTAAAATTAGCAATTTTAGAAAAGTTTCAAAAATAGACAATACCCATATATACTTCCCTAGCAGGACTTCCCTGGTGGCTCAGATGGTAAAGCGTCTGTCTACAATTTGGAAGACCTGGGTTTGATCCCTGGGTTGGGAAGTTTCCCTGGAGAAGGAAACCCACTCCAAACCCACTCCAGTACTCTTGCCTGGAAAATCCCATGGATAGAGGAGCCTGGTGCAGACTACTGTCCATGGAATTGCAAAGAGTCGGACACGACTGAGCGACTTCACTTTCTTTCACTTTATGGATCAGATGGTAAAGAATCTGCCTGCAGTGCGGGAGACTTGGGTTCGATCACTGGGTGCGGAAGATCCCTTGGAGAAGGGAAAGGCACTCCAGTATTCTGGCCTGGAGAATTCCATGGACAGAGGAGTCTGGACAGCTGCAGTCTGTGGGGTTGCAAAGAGTCTGACACAACTGAGTGACTAAACACACACATACATACTTCATCCACTTTCCCCTAATGCTAATGTTTTGCACAATTATGGTACAATTATCAAAACTGAAGGTTAATATTGGAACGCTAATATAAATGAAATGGCAGACTTCATAAGGATTTTACAAGCTTTGCAGACCAATTTTTTTGTTTGTTTCAAGATTAATCCATAATCCTCATCATACTTAGATTTCATATTTCCTTATTTTCTCCTCTGTGAGAATCCCTCACACATTCTTTGTCTTTCATGACCTCGATGATTTTAAAGAGTGCTAGTCATTTTTAAATTTTTCTTCAATATGAATTTTGTTACCGCATCTGTTATTGGTGATGTTTACCTTGGTTACTTGGTTAAGGTAATGTCTGGCAGATTTCTCCATGGTAAGGTTACTATTTTTCCTTTTGCAGTTAACATCTTGGAGGAGAGATTTGGACACTATGCAAATAATCCCTTTGCTCCACAAATCTTTCGAATTAATTTTGGCATCCATCTTGCCAGCAATTATTACTGGGTGTTTTAATGGTGATTTTCTATTTACTTCATTTCTTCTATATTTATTAACTGGAGTTTGTATGGGAAAACTATTGAAGGTGATCCCCTCTTTTTTAAATTGAGGTAGAGTTGCTTTGCAGTGTTGTGTTAGCTTCAGCTGCACAGTAACGTGAATTGGCTTCATGTAGACACATGTTCCCCCTCTTGAGACTCCCTCCAACCCTCCCCCGATCCATCTAGGTCATCACAGAGCCCGGGCTGAGCTCCATGTGTTGTAAAGCAGGTTCCCACTGACGATGTTTCACACATGGCAGTGTGTATATGTTAAACCCAACCTCCCAGTTCATTCCACCCCCTCAACTCCCCTGTGTCCACCCATCCATTCCTTACCTCTGAGTCTCTATACCTGCCCTGCAGATAGGTTCATCTGTACATTTCCTAGATTCCACAAATAAGTGTTAATATATGGTATTTGTTTTTCTGATTTTCATTCTGCATAATAGATTCTTGGTCCAGCTACATATTAAAGTTCTAATTTAAAACACTCCCTAACACCATACACAAAAATAAACTCAAAATGGATTAAAGCTAAATGTAAAACCTGACACTGTAAAACTCTTAGAGGAAAACATAGACAGTACACCCTTGGACATAAATCACAGCAAGATCTTTTTTGACCCACCTCCTAGAGTAACAAAAATAGAAAGAAAAATAAACAAATGGGACCTAATTAAACTTAAAAGCTTTTGCACAGCAAAGAAAACCATAAATGAGATAAAAAGACAACCCTCAGAATGGGAGAAAGTATTTGCAAACAAAGCAACTGACAAAGGATTTATTTCCCAACTATACAAACTGCTTATGGAACTCAATATCAAAAAAAAAAATTCAATCAAAAACTGGATGGAAGATATAGATATTTCCTAAAGGTTATTTTTTATTTCCTCTTCCAGTTTGGACTGTGTATCCTCCCCTCTCATAAGAAAAGTTCTCAGAAGGGCTTTACATGAATTATATTTCTTTGGATCCTGCTCAACCCTGAGGTCCTTCCAACCTAACTTCCTCCTTGAAACTCTACACACAGAACTCTTGCTGAAGTTGACAGTGGTCCCCATGTGTCTGGTTCTGCTAAGTAAACAGTATCTACCTAAGAAAGTTGACATTTTTAAAATGTTTAATATGGTTAACATATAAGAAACTCACAGACTTGGTTTCTCCTTTGTTTGGTCATTGCAGGTCTTCTGTGATTTCCATGGTCACTCCCAAAAGAAGAATGTATTCCTTTATGGCTGTAGCATCAAAGAGACTTTGTGGCAAGCAGAGTCTACTGTAGGTACATCGAATCTCTTGGAAGATGTCAGCTACCGGGTAAGTCATTTCAGGGAATGACATAAAAAATTTTGTGTCCGGATTCTGGCCTTTGAGACATGCCTCGACCATTATTTTCCTGAATAAGCATTTGATTATTTTAACTATAGGATTATAGTACAAGCAGGTTGAAGGCATGTGTTATCTTTTCCTCACTTTTGATGAATAATGGCTTCCTGCCTGGTTACTCTCAATTTGTTTTTTGTTTTTTGTTTTCTGTATGATGTGATATAGTGCATAGAATTAGAGATAGGAAACCTCATTTTAATTCCTGACTTTGTAACTATTAACTGTGTGACTATGATCCATTAACATCATCTCTCTGAACCACCATTCTGTCACCTGTGAAACAAGGATAATGAAAATACTACCCCTGTTATGTATTTACAGAAGGAACAAAATGATACTGAATTGGAAAGGATCTTAAATAAATATGAAGGGATGAAAAAAATTAAGGCATTTCACCATCCAAATTCCTCTGTGTGAGCATACTTTAAAAAGTAGACACTGATCCCCTGAACCTAATTCTCTTTGTTTCTGGGTTCCAGTAGCTAGAGATCAGCTTTCCCCACACTGAACCCAAATGAGGTTACGGAGGGGGAAGGAAGGAAGGACTTCTTTCTGTTGGGATAAAGTAGACAAGCTGCTGCTTACTGGGTATTAGGAAGATATAGAAGAGGTCAAGTTATCCAAACGAAATAAAAATTGGCGTTTGTTTCAAATTTATAGAGGAAAAGGAAAAAATGACTGTGTTGGAAAAACCTGGTTCTCTTCCTATGTCTTTATCCTTTCCTTTTATACAGAACATTTTGTTTCCCACACTGTTGCTTAGTTGCTAAGTCATGTCTGACTCTTTGTGACCCCACGGTAGTCCGCCAGCCTCCTCTGTCCATGGGATTTCCCAGGCAAGAATACTGGAATGGGTTTCCATTTCCTTCTCCAGGGGATCTTCCTGACCCAGGGATAGAACCCGCATCTCCTGCACTGGAAGGCAGATTCTTTACCACTGCACCACCTGGGAAGGTGGTGAGGATCCTCACCACACTGCTGAGGATCAGATATTTGCATTTTCCCCTCCACCAGGCAATTCTGCGATAACAGCTGCGTGTCTTACAATTTAACTGAGTTCTAACACTGTCTACCCAGAGATAACATCAGATCTCTCAAGTTAAAGGCTCAGTCCCAGGAGACATCCCCCCACTTCAGATGCCAATTGCAAGTAGTAGGTCCCCAGGTTACTCACAACTCCTGTCTGACTCGGCTATAAATCAGGGGTTTCCATGATCTCCTCCCACTTGGGTCTGATTATTTCCTAGAATAGTTCATAGTATTCTAAGGAACACTTACTTACATTTACCAGTTTAGTAAAGGATATGCTAAAGGATACAGATTTTTGACTTAAAATAGTCACAAACTGAGAGTTTCCAGTTAAGTTTCATTGAGGAAAAAATGAGGCTTACAGCTCGGGAGATAGCACCCCAGATAATTCTGAAAACCTGCTCCAGAGAGGCAGAAGGGAAGGTCAGTATATATGTGATTTTAATGAAGGGGTAATACATGCAATCAAATATATATATATATATTTTTTTTTGCAGAAGGTTTCTACTAGTCATGAGGAGAATCATCACCATGAAGAATTTTAGTGATTTTCTAGCTATGAGGAGATATAAGAATTGGGTTCATAAAATTGCAGCAGCTCATGATTTAATCATTGTAAAATTGGATGGCAAGTGGCAATCTGTCACTGACAAGATAAACAGCCATTTAAAAAGATATATGGATATGGGAGGGCCCCACGTTTCTCTAAGTGTGTAGTTGGAGTGGGGGGCATTACTTCCCAGTGTATGGATGGGTTCACCAACCTGGAAGCTCCCCAACTTGCCTTCTATTTGGATTTTATGGGAATGTCTTCACATGGGCTTGATCATTTATTGACTCCACCTATAACCTCTTTCTCTTTCATAGAGAAGTAATGATCAGCCCTGAACCAGGAGTGATTCAGGAACTCACCCAGAGTTACCTTATTAGAACAAAATATGCTCCTATTATTCTTATCAGATAGGAATTTACAAATGTTTTAGGAATCTTATATCAGAACTGGGAATGAAGAACCAATATATATATATTTCTTACTGCAATCACGATATCACAATTATGATGGTATCAACCTCTTCTTAGGGGCTTCCTTTGTGGCTTAGATGGTAAAGAATCTGCTTGCAATGCGGGAGACACAGGTTCAAGCCCCACTCCAGTATTCTTGCCTGGAGAATTCCACTGACAGAGGAGCCTGGCGGGCTACAGTCCATGGTGTCTCAAAGAGTCAGACACAACTGAGAGACTACACTTTCACTTTCAACCACTTATTATTCTGGATATATGAATTTACTGACTATGAAATATCTTCAGGGTTAGTGAGTATCAAAACGGGGAAAAAGCCCACCAAGCTTCTATCTCACCTGAAAATACTTCTCCTGTGTCCTGAATTGTTTCGCCTCTTCATTTGTGCCTATTAGAAGCATAACTGCTATTGATCACTAGAATTCCCCCAAGGCTATTAATGCAGAAACAGCAGCTTATCTTCCATGTCCTATTTACTCTAAGGCTCAACCAGAGTACTGGTGATAAACCTCAAGAAGCTTAACTGCATAATCTTACTTAGGAAACTAGCTTGGATTAAAACATTGCATCTTACCAGGTCATGCTGACCTATATAAAATTATCTCTTATGAGTAGTACATTTAAACTAAAGAATCTATACTATCCAGCCTTAAATATAGACTCACCACGAATTTGTGCCCTTTTTCCAAGTCTCCAATGGATCAGTTCATGTATAGAGTTCATCAATTTCCTAATCATTTAAAAACAAAACAAATCAAACCACCTCCAGTTATCCTAGCTATCATCATCTTAATTGCTCACTCTGACCTAGATCCATTTGTGTAAAATCAAAAGGGAAATAGAAGACTTTGCTGTAAATGAGAGGGTGTGACACCCATTATTTAATGAATGGATAAATTGCCACTGCAGAGGTGTAAAAGGATGTTCCCATTGCACTTCGTAAGTTTCACATCCTCCAGGTTCCAAGGCTCCAGTAAAGGTATCATAGATTCTGGAGTTTTCCAAGTTCACACCATTAATAGAGTGTGATTTTTTTGGAGGAGATTATACTCGCTAAGAAAACATGGTTCACTTAATTTAAGAAAGGAGAGATCATTTAAATGATGTCACATTAAACTTTTTGCAACAAAGTAAAATACTGATAAATAGAAATTATATTCAAGTATTCTCAATCACTTTAGTTGATAGAATAAACCTGCCTAAGGCAAAAGAGCTGTATGCAGAAAACTGAAAGACACTGATGAAAGAAATCAAAGAGGACACAAAAAGACAGAGAGATACACCATGTTCTAGGACTGGAAGAATCAATATTGTGAAAATGACTATACCACTCAAATCAATCTACAGATTCAGTGCAATCCTTATCGCATTACCAATGGCTTTTTTTTTCACAGAACTAGAACAAAACATTTTACAGTTTGTATGGAAACACAAATGACTGCAAATAGCCAAAACAATCTTGAGAAAGAAAAACATAGCTGGAGGGATCAGACTCCCTGACTTCAGACTATACAAAGCTATAGTTTTCAATACAGTATTGTACAGGCTCAAAACTAGAAATATACTCTATTTATGTCTATTTAAGCAGTCATTTAAAGGCTTGGATAAGCAGATCTATTTTTTCCAGTGAATAGTTTATGAAGTACTCTCTGTAAGCAGCACTGATCCATGTGCAGAGATTTTCCTGTGAGCAAGATACAGGCTTGCTCTCATGGAACTTCCAGGCTTCAAAAGAGATTGAAAATAAGCAACTAGCTGCATACAGAATAATTTCACTGTAATTGTGATGAACACTTTGAAGGAAAAAATGGTGTGAGGGATCATGGGAAAAGAGGGACAAGAATAATGTGTGCTAAGTCATGCATGACTCTTTTTGGTCACATGGACTGTAGCCCACGAAGCTCATCTGTCTGTGAAATTTTCCAGGCAAGAATGCAGGAGTAAGTAGACATTTCCTACTCCAGGCAATCTTCCCAACCCAAGATCAAACCTGCATCTCTTGTGTCTCCCACTTTCACAGGTGGATTCTTTACCACTGGTGCCACCTGGGAAGCCCCAAGAATGGATGAGTGAGTGCGTGAAAGTTGCTCAGTCGTGTCCAACTCTGTGATTGCATGGATTGTAGCCTGCCAGGCTCCTCTTTTCTGTTCATGGAATTCTCCAGGCTAGAATACTGAAGTGGGTAGCCATTCCTTCCTCTAAGGGGTCTTCCCAGTCCAGGGATTGAACCCAAGTCTCCCTCATTACAAGTGGATTCTTACCATCTTAGCCACTAGGGAAGCCCAAGAATACTGGAGTGGGCCTATCCCTTCTCCAGGGGATCTTCCCCACCCAGGAATTGAACTGGGGTCTCCTGCATTGCAGGAGGATGCTTTACCCGCTGAGCTACCAGGGAAGCCCCCAAGAGTGGATATATGAAACTGATTAGGAGGAATTTCAGAAACTCTGAGGATAACATTAACACTTCATTTCCCTTAAAATTATAATGCTATAGGTCTGGAGCCTATGTAGGAACTTAGTGATCATAGTAGAATATATTAATAAATACATTAATATATATTTATTTGAAATGTTTTTATAATTAATTATATTAATCCTTATATTAATATAATAGCTATGTTAAGCATGGGTACAGTAAGAACCAGATATATTAAGAGATTTGCTTAGTGTTCTAGAAGTAAACAAAAACTGCATTTCTTGAAAAATAGTTCCTAAATTTACATTTTCATCCCTTTGTTCTACTTCTTTATCTTCTCCCAGCAATTTGTCCAAAGACTGACATTATGCCATTTCTTATCTAATCTATATACATTTTTTATTATGTGCTAATTTTTGGAGACTTTGCTAACACTGAAGTGAGAGAACCCTCTGCGTTCATATCACAGAAGTTCTGAACTGCCCAAGGGTAGTATTTCTGCTGTCCCAAAGACTCAGTGTACCATCAACTGTCGGATACCACTCCTGGGGGTTGGGAAGGGCCAGAGACTAGTAGTCCCCTTTCTTTAGATAGACTAGAGTCTATCAATGCCTTCTGGCTTCCCTGGCTGTACGGTGGTAAAGAACCTGCCTTCCAATGCAGGAGAGGCAAGAGACGCAGTTTGGATCTCTGGGTCAGGAAGGTCCCCTGAAATAAGAAATGGCAACTTGCTCCAGTATTCTTGCCTGGAGAATCCCATGGACAGAGTAATCTCACGGGTACAGTCCATGGGGTTGCAGAGGGTCGGACATGACTAAAATGACTGCACACACTCACAGGACATACAGTAACCTTCTAAATGGAAACTAAGTGATCGCACGTGGTATAGACGAATCCAGAGAGTATGGGATTTTGTAAGTTTTATAATTGGCCTAACTTCAGATTTATAGATCAGAGGATGAGATTGAAAAGTTCATTTTGGCAGTTAGGCTCTTTCAGGAAACAACTTAACTTTATAAGTGCTCCCGCTCAAGAAGCACCAGTGATCCGTATGTCTGAGATAAGTGAAAATCCAGCCAGAAAACAGGGAGTCTGGGTTGAGCCACTCTCTAAATTTCAGGTCCCTGTGAAGTCTGTGGCTTCCCATGGGGCTCAGTACAGTACTGTATGAGGTTGGGTATACTGGTTCATAGTGATGCAGGAAGATGAGGTTGAAAAATCATAGTCTTTGGAGTTGGCCATGTTGGCATTTGAATCCCATCCCACCCACTTTGTAGTTGAGCTTTGGCTAATTCTTTCTAACTTTTCTAAGCTTCAGTTTCCTCATCTTTAAAATGAAAAAAGGGGTGTTCATAAGTGGCTCAGTGGTTAAGAGCCTGCCAATGCTGGTGACCTAGGTTCGATCCCTGGGTTAGGAAGATCCCCTGGAGAAGGATATGGAAACCCACTCCAGTATTCTTGCCTGGAGAATTCCATGGACAGAGGAGCCTGGTGAGCTATAGTCTGTGGGGTCACAAAGAGTCAGACATGACTTAGCAACTAAACAGTAACGATAACTACAGAAAAGGATTAAAAATTGGTACTCAATACTTAGGATTGATATAAGATTTATAGTTGCATGTATTAAGTGTTTGATATATTCAGATGCTTAATACTTACTAAGAAATTATTATTATTTTTTAATGATGCATAGATTCAATCTTCTGCAACTCACCATAATTTTGATTTTCTTAATTATAGACTCTTCCCAAAATCCTTGATAAACTTGCACCAGCGTTTACCATGAGCAGTTGCAGCTTCCTTGTGGAGAAATCTCGGGCCTCCACAGCCCGGATAGTGGTGTGGAGAGAGATGGGGGTGTCCAGAAGCTACACCATGGAGAGCAGCTACTGTGGTTGCAACCAGGGTCCCTATCAGGTATGTGAGGCTGGGGATACCTCTGTTTTCTGTCCAGCAGCAATGCACTGTGATGGAGAACTATTGCATGCCCATTGATCTCGCTGTCTAGTCTGAAAGAGGAAGAAGTCTCCAGGCAAAGTCTGGCCCAGCACCGTTGATCTTGCAGAAGAACTAGTTCAATGAATGCTTTCCCTGGCAGCACAATCTGTGTTGATCCTGGAAGCAATCTGTGCCTGCCTGCTGCTTTGGTATTTCAATCATCTGCCCTCTCCGGCAAGTGGTAGGGAGCCACCTCAGACAGGCACCCCTGGCTTTTATGGAACCTCTTCCTGGACCTGTTTTATGTATGAGAACATTTTCTTTCCTTTTGCAACACACGGACCAGTCCCCAATGCATCATCAAAAAAAGGCATAGATCAGGGAGTCGATATCGTCAAGACATATATGGTTGGTGTTTTTTTGTCTTTTGTGTTCAGCGGCTCTCTGTTATCCTGCTGTCACAGAGTGGACAGAAGTGTGTGCCCGATGCGTGTCTCCCCGAGATGAGCGGGCTCGGGACTCGTGTTTTAACAGTGAAGGGAAGGGCTGGAATGAATCACATTCTTCCTACAGCTGTATTATGTGTATGAGCAGCTTGGTAGCTCTGAGAGCTGCTTGTCCCACTCCCCCACTGCTGCTGCTGCTGCTGCTAAGTCGCTTCAGTCGTGTCGGACTCTGTGCGACCCCATAGACGGCAGCCCACCAGGCTCCCCCATCCCTGGGATTCTCCAGGTAAGAACACTGGAGTGGGTTGCCCTTTCCTTCTCCCACTCCCCGACTAGAGGAGCATAAATAAGGGGCACAGTCATGGTGCCAGGGCAATAGACTCTTCTACATGTGTTAGGCAAGATGACAGACTACTCCTCGGTGACTTCTATTCAACCCTGAGGATTCCTGGATGTTGCTGGCGTTTAAAGCCCACCATGATGGCTTTGATCCTCTCCTGAAACCATTAGGAAGCACTTGGCATCTCCAGAATCCAGTGCTTGTAGAAATCTGTTAGCCATCAAAGGCAGTTCAGGGAGTGACAGGTGGGTGATGAACATTATCTAACTTCCCATCTGCTCAGAGATATTTTTCAACATAGGGCTACTGACCAACCAGTTTGACCTAGAAATTCTGTTAAATCGTCAGTTTGTCTATAAACAGTAGCTTGAAAGAATTGTTTTTATTACTGAATTAATAAACTACAAGAATGAATTAATCTTTATTTCTAAACATCAATCCGATTCAGAGTAAAGATCTCACTCTTCCAGTTAATGGCAGTGTTGTACAGTGCTTGCCTCTGTAAACCTCTATGTTTCATGTATGAAATGCAGATACTATTAAGGATTCCTCTCCTTCCTGATAACACTGGAGGAGGAAATGGCAACCCACTCCAGTATTCTTGCCTGGAGAATCCCATGGGCAGAGAAGCCTGGCGGGCTACAGTGCATGGGGTCACTAAGAGTCAGACTTGACTGAGCAACTGAGTGCACTCTCATGCTTCTTCCTGCTAGGCAACATTTTTGTAAAGGCCAAAAGAAAATACATAAACAAATGTACTTGGGGGGTTATTGCATTAGGATTCTGTTCACTTTCTTGACATTTAAAACCCATAGGGTTGGGAAAAAAAAAAAAGCCTGGACTATTGTGACTCAAGACGTTATGTTTATAGACTTGTGCCTCTCGCTGTATGCTTCTCGATGGAAACGGGCCAGTCACTTGTTTAGAAGACAACTCCATGCATCCCTCACAGATTTATTGGATTGGTGACTTTCATTGACTTTGTTTCTCCAAGCACCAATTCAGGCTAACAGCTTCTAGTCACATAAGTACCAATGCCATTCACAATAAATCAACCAGACACTCAAAGGCCCTTGGAGCTGTTGTTTGAAAACTAAGTGACTCATAGGTTCAGGCCCTCACCAACACTCCATCTTTCAGGCAACATACACGGTGGCGGTTGGAAATGACAAACAGTGAAAGAAGCTTGCCCAGTGGGATGGCTTTCAGATATGGACTCAGCATTTGTCCTGTGAAATTTTCCATATGACCTTTGCATGGGGTCTCTATAAGGAAGGATGGAGAAGGAATTGGCTTAGAGAAAAGTCCTAACAGTGCCAGACCTGGTTTTGCTTTAGGATCCTATTCTGCATATGAAACACCTCTCTGAAAGGATTGGTTTTCCCTTTCCCTTTGTTTTTCTGTTCTTACAAATGTTGTTGAGTAACTGAGCAGAATTGCAGACTGAACAAGAGGATGGTGAGTAATTTTACATATTGGGGGGGCACCCTGGGGAGAGGAAGTTAGCCCAGAATTGGGTGTTTCAGTGATTTTTGTCTGAGGCATATAATGAAATCTATGAGCTATAAAGCTGTATAGAAATTTCCATCCTGAACATACTGCAAATGACTTTTGTATTTTGAGAAGCTGAGTCCCAGTTGGGTCCTGAGGTTATTATTCTAAGGTCATCTTTCCATTTTTTTGTTTAGCATTACCATTTATCCCAAAGATGGAGGGTGCTTAAATACCCCCACAGGGGGCATTCCCTCCTTCCTTCATAAGAATATAAATATTTTTGCAGTTTCTCTGGTTAATGCAGCTTTAAAGTAGTTCCAATCATTTCTCCCAGCACACTAAGTATCTGATTTGTTAGTATTGAAATGAAATATGATTTCTTACAGTGACATTTATGTTGGAACAACATTGAAGCATATAAACTCTCACCTTCTGATAATTATTATTAATATGATATTTTCCTTCTATTTTCCAGTCTATAGTTGACTAATATTGAAAAAAAAATTCTCCTGGTTTTGTTTTTCTTTTCTTTTGAAACATAGTCTCTACTGCTAGGTTATATGCTCTGATCCACAATTTGTATTTAGTGTGGAGGTCTCACCCACTGAGCGATTGGCTTAACGTCTTTGGACTGGCCCAAAGCTGTGGAGGCTGTTGAGAGGAAAAGCCAAAGTGGAACTATGCATCCTTTGGAGGCTTATTTTTTAAGTCACCCAGTCTGTGTGGACAGCTGTGTGCTTCACACTGAGTGTCTGTGACTTGGAGTCACATGCATGGTGTGTTTGCATATACAGAAGCTTATGACTGAGTCCCCGGGGGCCGCTTGTGGCTTAGGAGGCTAATGTGAGCACTCCCGCCCGAGCGGGCTGTTGACAGGTTCCTTGGCAGTGTTGCTGACTCCTGGGGTGGCCAGGAGGGTCTCAGTCAGAGGAAGGGCAGAAGATGGGAGACTCAGCTGAGGCTTGAAGAGCGACTCAACTGCGTGTTAACAAGCGCTACCTGCCAACCGCCTGCCCTGTATTGCGGACTCCCCAGCTATCCATCCTCCTTACCACCAACGGAGGGATATTTCAGGAACCCCCGCCTATTCAAATCATAGTACTGCCCATTACCCATCATCGTGTTTGGAAAAAATCCAGACTCCTCATCATGAGGGAGGCCAACTCCTCACCATCAGTGTAAGGCCTTTGACAGCCTCCTCATTCGTTATTTTTAAAGATTTTTTTAATGCCTTTTTAACATTTATTTTTAACTGAACAACAGTTACAATATTGTGTTGGTTTCTGACATACATCAACATGGATCAGTCATAGGTACACATATGTCCCCACCCTCTTGAGCCTCTTTTCCACTTCCCACTCCCACCCACGCCTCTAGATTGTCAGAGAATCCCTGTTTCAGTTCCTTGAGTCACATAGCAAGTTCCCATGGGCTATCTATATATATGCTTAGAATCTATGTTTCCATGCTGCTCTTTTTTTAAAAGATTTTTTTTTTTTTCTGGTGTGGATCATTTTTAAAGGCTTTGTTGAATTTGTTATGGTATTGCTTCCGGTTTAGGCTGTTCAGTTTTTTGGCCATAAGGCAGGTGGGATCTTACTTAGCTCCTCAATCAGGGATTGAACCTGGACAGCTTGCATTGGAAGGTGAAGTCTTAATTGCTTCCCATCCCTCCTCATTCACTTTTTATACCCAGTGTCTTCTTTAGTATGGAATAGGTGTTATGTATGTGTGTTGTCTCACCAATAAATGGTTAAGTGAATGAATAAATGGTGATTTCCAGGTAGGGTCAGGTGATTTTCCTCTGTCCATGGATAACTAGAAAAAGAAGACGAAATTCTCACCACGGTCTAAATTTGATTAGAAGCTATTCTAAAATTTGACTTTAAGAGTTGTAATTCATGGAAATGGAAAGTGTGTGGGTGAGAGAGGGAAATGAATAAGAATGCAACTCAGACTTCTCAGGCCTGTCACTATATACATGATTTAAGAGCATCTAATGGATTCATTCTCAGACTAAGGCAATTCTAGTCCAGGTGTGGAATTTCACATGGCCACATTCTAATAACAGATGAGGATTAGACAGGAAGACATCCACCTGTGCGTGTGGGAGATGCTGCTAGGCACCTCCTAGATCCCCCTGGAGAGATGCTGATTCCCCATTGGCTCACAGCTGTGTCCATCACCAGAAATTGCCTAGAGCTGGTAGAAGCTGCTTTGACCAAAGCCCTGGCTTCTCTGTGTGAGCCTGCATCCACCAACTGGTCTATGTGGGGATACAGTGCCTGACCCAGTTGGGGAAACTCCAAAGTCGGGGGGGGGGCATTCCAGCTCCAGAAGTCTATGTAGAACTATGTATTTGGGCCTCAGTTGCAATTGTGTTGAAGTTCAGCCTTCTCCTCAGCCCAAGTCTGCTTTTCTCACCACTCCCGGGTGGGATAATGTCATGTGTCCCCCTTCCCATGCAAATCTTTCTGCAAAACAGCTTATAACAGTATTTCACAAAGGCTTAAATTAGGAAACATAAATGTTGGAACGAAGCACTTGAGCTGTTGAAGATAGGTTGACAGGGATGAATTTCATATAAAAAGTTAAATCATCTCAACTCGGCTTTCAAGGCTCCCAGTGCTCTCATTCACCAGGCTGCTCTGTCCATCGGGTTTCCCAGGCAAGAATACTGGAGTGGGGTAGCTGTTTAC